TAGGAGTTCTTCCCCTGTGTTACTTGGTATTGCTTCAGTGATAGGCATTATGACAAGGTAGAGATGAAATCTCAATGAGCTTTTGATTTGCATGTCTCTGGAGGCTAAGGATTAGGACTTTTTCTTGTATCTATTGGTTCCTTGCCCTTTGTCTTTTGAAAAATACTATTCATCTTATTTGCCCACTTATTAATAGAATTATTTGGTGTTTCTTGAGGTTTAAATTTTTTAGTTCTTTATATATTCTAGATATCAATCCCTAGTGTATAGAGCAAAGACATCATCCCACTCTGACCACTGCGTCTTCATTATGTTAACTGTTTCCTTTGCTGTGTAGAAGCTTTTACATCCCATGCAAGTCCCTTTTTCACATCTTGCAATTGTTTCTCAGACTACTGGAGTTCTTTCAGAAAATTCTTGCCTCTGATGGTGCTTTGAAGTGTTTTCTCCTAGAAGTTTCAGAATGTCTCTCAACCTCCTGGGTTGATATAATCAATATGAAAATTGCAATACCATTAAAAGTGGACTACAAATTGATGCAGTCACATCAAAATTCCAATGTGTAGAAGACAGTCCTGTACTTCAGATAGAAGCACCTAAGACTCCATATAGCCCAAACAATCCTGATTAGAAACAGTGAGGTACCACAGTTGATTTCAGATGATACTATAGAGTGAGAAGAATGGAAACAGCCTAGGACTGTTGGGTAAATATACCCTAAAAGCAGACACACTATATGTGACTAGAAGCAAAGTCACATATAGCTACAGCTATCTCATTTGTGGCAAATGTATCAAAAACATACATTGGAGAAAAGATAGCCTCTTCAACAAATGATGCTAGGAAAACTCAATATCCATATACATATAAAACAATCAAACTAGATCCAGTGTCTCTTTCCTTGTACAAAATCAACTCAAAATGTTCAAAGACTTTAAAATATGTCTCCTATAGGCAAAGTATCGTGTCTTCCATGTCATTCAATCTGAGTATCCTTGTATGAATTATACAATATAGAACAAGTATACCAAATACAATTATTGATTTAGTTATGGTTAGGCCTACCGTTTTTATGTTTAATTTTGAAGTTTCCCATTTATTTTTATTTTCTTTATTTGTCATTATTTTCCTTTTTCATGATTTTCAAAATTAAGTCATTATTTCTTACTATTTCTCTTACTATCACCATCTCATTATGATTTTAAAGTCTATAACTGTGTCTAGCATTTTGGAAGGGAATCTTTTAAGAATAAACTTTTCACTGGTGCCTGTCAGTCTGCTTAGTGCCCATATCTTACTAATTTATGCAAGGGAACATCACAACTGTGCATTTCTACCTAATGTCATCCTTTTCCTTATCCTTGTGATATTCTTGTCATATTTATTTTATATCCACAGGTGTTATAAACTCCAAAATATGATTCACAAATTTGCATTGGCCTGGTCTTAGTCTTTAAAAAAACAAAGAGGAAAAGAGTGTTTTGTATTTAACCACAAATGTGTGATTTCCAGTGCTCTTTATTGGTTTTGAAAACCCAAATCTTACCTAGCATTGTTAGTGTTTTTCTGTCTGAAAAATAATTATTTTGTGTCTTTTATTAATCAAAACATCTTTTATATCATGTCCATTTTTTTCATGCTCATTTTTAAAAAGCATTTTTCTGATAGAATATTGAGTGGCTATAATAAAGAAAGAATTCCTGTCATTGCAACAACATGTTAAGTGACATAAGTCAGTCAGAGAAAAACAAACACTGTATATTTTCATTTATTTGAAAGCTTAAAGTTGATCTTATAGAATAGTATCACAGAAGATTTCATAGTTTACATTTCACTGATATTTTCCCATGTGGTCATTTAGTGTGGATGGTTCCCCCTTAGCTCTGAATATTTATGATAACTACTCAGAAATTGTCAGTTAACTCTAAATTCTGCATCATGGAAGATGTTATTTTTTTTTTACTAGAAGAACTCACAACTCCCTGTGGCTGAAATTTCTCTTGACATTTTGGATCTCCCAGTGAATACATGAATCACGAGGACCAAAGATTTGTGAGGAGTTCACATGAATTTCTGGGAGTTTCCCCTTTAGCTGCTTCCAGCTTCTGATTCCTGCTTAAAGTAAAAGGGTACAGCCATGTATTTCTGATTCAATTCTACTGCTTTGTGAAGTATTGATTAAATGACTACCAGGAAAGTCAGGTAAACATGGCTTTCACTACTGTCATTCACTTTTATCAAAATTTTCATATCTTCCTCTAATTCCACCCCATTCAGAAACATACCAAATATTTGTTTTTATGTATTTGGATACAAGCTATACCACTGTGCCTGAAATTTGTACTTAATATCAGTGCAACTGTTGTTGGGTTTCTATGTGTTAGATAAATTACATTATACATCTTGGTCCTCAAAACACATCCAATTTGGGAGCATGACCTTCCAAATTAAACAGTCTAAACATCTAGACCATATTTTATTGATATTATTAGAATTTCAGCACTTCCTCTTAGGGTTAGAGGAACAAGACAATGGATTTTAATGTTCAGAGTTCTTGCTATGATTCTTCTATTATTTTATAAGTATTGATAGAAAAAACCAGTAGGGAGGGATAAAAAATAATACCTTGAGGTAATACTTCTTTTCATATGTGTACAGGAGAAAGGAAGAAACACAACTCTTCCTGGTTTTGGTATTATATTTTTGCAAATATATGATATTTATTTAGAGATATGGTTATTTTTAGTAGTCAGTAAAAAATGTATTTACTAACATGTATTTCTCCACTATAAAAAGTACTTATTCTACTTGTGTCAGAAAGAACATTTAAATAAAGAAGAAAGTTTTATTCTGACCCTTGTCTGTAAGTTATATCACTGAAGCCATATAGGGAAAGAATTTTTCCTGGTCTCACCTAATTGCCCTCCATACAAATCACATAAATACGTATGAGCAGGGTGTCAGTGAAAGGACCATGTGGTATCAAGCACAAATGAAGGAACGGGGTCTGGGGGTGAGACAAAGCCATCACAAGGAATATGGTGGGTCTGCGGCTTGCTCTCAGCTGTGAGGAATGAGCTGTCAAAGCAGCCCCTCCCTCACTTAGCTGTTGTGAAGATCAAACATGGTATATAAAATTCACAAAGAATCTCTGGTGCATTGTCTTCACCGTCATTGTGGCCACTACTATCCCCCTATTTGTAAATGCCTAATAAATGACTACCTGAATAAGTACTTTGTGAATTGAATAAATGCCTTCTCACTGGGAAAAGGTTTCAAAAAGGTAAGAAAGCCAAATTATGAAAAGATTTTGTGTATTATTTTAAGTATTATGTAAAAATGAGCAAGAAAAAGAATAAAGGGGGAACCTATTGAAGTAAAACCACAAAGGAAGATTTCTCTAAGGAGATGGCAGGAGAGCTGAAACTTAAAAGATGACAAGTATCCAGGTGCATGAAGGACAGGGAGAAGACATATACGAAAGCACCGAGGCACACACATTCAGAACCCTTCAGGGCAGACAGCAAAGCCTCTAGTCTGTTGGAACAGAATAAATAAGGTCAAGAGACATTAGATGACATCACGAGGTAGTATATTAATTACAGCCCCATAGCTGAGATAAAACGCTCTAACCAAACACAGCTTAGGGGAGAAAAAGGTCTATTTTGGATTACAGAGTCCGTTGGAACAGAGTCGGTGGTGGGGAAGACTGAGATCATGAAAGCCCAGCAGTAGGACAGGAAGATGGGTGGTCACATCTCAGGGGCGTACAGGAGAAGGAGGGCGGGAGACTGGGAAGGAAGGAGAGGAAGAGGTAGAGATAGGGCGGGGCTGGGGGTGGAGATAGAACATGAAGTAGAGGAAAGCCTGTCCCCAGTGACACACTGCCTCCCACAAGGCTCCGCTTCTCCCCAAACAGGGCCACTAACTGGGAACCAGGTGTTAAATGTACAAACATTTGGGGGACATTTCTCATTCTAACCACAACAGAGTGTTTGGCTTTTGGTTTCAGAGTAAAGAGATGACTATAAATGATAAGTTGATAGACCTAATCTATCCTCACAGAAACAGAATGAATTCCTGAAAACAAAACAAAACAAAATACAAAAAACAAAAACCTTGAAACTCCTTGTTTAGATACCTGAGTATACATATAGGCTAAAATAGTTCCCACAATGATTTGAGTTGTTGGTAACTCAAAGGTTCTTTTGGGATATTTTAATAAATATTCTATCCAATTCTTTTTCCTTTCATGATTTCATTGTACCATAATGGATCCACATGAAACAGGGGCTGACAAGTGGGAATGGCTAACTAAGAAAGATGGTCAGGGCATGGTGAGGGAGACATCTCAACTGCATCCCACTGAAAAGTGGCTGAGATGCTGGGGGCGGGTGGGATTCCAAAATCCAACACCCTGGCACAGACACAGGAGGCAGCTCACAGAATGCTTAAATGTACATCAGGCAAGTGACATGAGGTGACAGTAATACCAATGTGAGCTTTATCCTGGAGTGTTGAGATTTATCCCTTTTCCTGAAGCAGCTTCATTTTCTTAATATTCTTCTTTCTCTTTTTAACATGCTTTATATTATCAAAATTCTTGGCATTAATTAACACCACAGCTAGTAATATAATAAAGCATTTCTATTTTCACATGACATTTTGAACAATTACACAGGGAAATTTATTTCCAAAGGGAAAGCCTATAGGGAAATGGTACCACACTTAATCTCCATTACCCTTCATTTCTGACAGATTAATTTAAGTGTGTACATTAATAGGTGAGATTTCCAACTTGTGTCAGTATTTTTTGGGGGGGCAATTATGATTTTGAAATAACAACATGTATTATAATAACAGCTTTAGAGGTGTTTTAATTTTTTCTTGAAAGATAAAGAGTAGTATATTAAATGTCAGCTGTGAACTGGGTGACAACTAATTATCTTCTATTTCACAGCAGCTGATAATAAGTGAGATAAAAAATGATGAATACCTACTGTTGCCAGGTAACCGCATCTACGGTGCTCCCTGCCACCTTCATGAATCTGTAAGGAATAGAGAAAAGAGAGATGGTGTGACTTCAACCATTTCTCCAAAGCTAAAATAAGTTGAGACAAGAAATACATTGAGCCATTCCATACTCAGATATGCTTTCTCAGAGAACCTCTAGTCCTAGTCATGGAAATCAAAATCCCAGGACAGCATTTCATCTACATTTGTCTTCCTAAGCCCAAGCCCGACAGTTCTCACATTGACTTTGTATAATCAAAGCTTATCTGTGCTATTCCCTATTCTCTAAAGACTCTGATTTCTGCTGGGAAACAATGATGTTTCCCAAGGATGGCACCACAATACACGCTTTTGAAAAACTGCAGGCCTCTCTCCCTGTAAAGAGTATGGGAAAACCCAATTTATATATCGGCAAGGCACTATCAAATATGCTCCAATGCAAAGCAGCCACATCTGTGTGAAACATGGTAGGGTAGAAATGCGAGCACCACAGAGAGTAATTTATGTTCCTCTGGAGCAGCTAAGTAGAAATCAAGTATCCTCTATCAAGTGTGCCCAGCTCAAAAGGAAAGGAAGGCCTCGCTCTGGGAGGACAAGGGCACAGCAAAGCCTTGTGAGCAATTGCTCACTGACCTTTGTGACCCCCTGGAGGTCTAGAAGAGCCAATGTCAGGATTCATTTGTGATTCACAGATGCCCAGACCGCATGTCTGAAGTAACTGCCTCTGCTCGCCTGTTTGAGGACGTTTTGCCATGGCTACTACTGCCCTTGAGAGAACTATCACGCAAAACCCAGAAATCAAAGGAAACATCCCAGTTCTTTCAAATGCTCATTTCAGCCTCAGGGCTCCAGAGGGAGATGTCTCTTTGAAGGAGACATTGAATTTTTCTGTATAACCAAAGACTCTTGAGCCAGAAGAGCAGATGGTCTCTTTCCTGTAAGTCTGTGTCCTGCCCTAGACGAATCTCTCTAGAGAGATGGGATGGGCACAGGAATGCCACAGGCATCCCCAAAGGGTCTATTTTGCTGTGGTGGCAGGAAAGGACTCAGTCAGCCTGTAGAACAAACTGGAAAAATCTGGAAATAGGACTTTTGGCAGCCACAAAGGGATAAAGAAAAGGGGGGGGGGATGAGAAGGGGACTAGAGAAGCATCGAACCAGGCAGGAAGAACAGCTGGAGGAAGAAGTAGCCATTACAGTAGTCTTGGATTGGATTTTGTTTTTGATTGTTTGTTTGTTGGTTTTGTTTTTGTTTTTTTGTTTTGCATTTCTCTCTGTACCATACTGAAGTCCAGGACCAAGAATATGGAAACATAACACAGTATGTGATACAGAATGGAATTAGTTTGATGGGTTTAGTAAAAATGTCTATGTGGTTTGGTAGATAGTTGGCATTTTCTGAGTATCTAGTTAATACAGTGTGTGTATGTGTGTGTGTGTGTTGTGTAAGTGTGATTTCTTACCTTTTTAACACTGTTTTGCTTGGTGGTGAAGATGGTAAAGGCTATTTATCACTTTATACAGACTATATATAGCTTCTTCATTGGCTAAAAAAGTAAAATTTTCAGATATTCCACACAGCCAGTTTAAAATGAGTTATGCCATTTCACCTCATGTCATCAGCAGAGTTTAGCAGAGTGTTTACCACCTCCCTACTTCTCTGCCCTGTGTTTAGGAGTCCCCCTTTTTGGAATTAAAGGCCCAAACTGCTTATGTACTTGGTCTTTCCCATTCTGGTCAATGCTATCCTGAGTCAACAAGCACACAACCAACACCTGTCAGAACACAGAAAAAGAAAAGGAAAGACTACAAGGAATGGGAATCTCAAATACTACTTTTGTTGCATATAAATTTCAAACAGTGGATACCTGATGATGCTTGAGGAGTTAGATGACCTAGACATAAAGAGAAGGAGATGAAATTCTTTACCTCTTTTCAGGATAAAAAGTTAGAAAATCTAGACAGCCTTACATGTAAGCATCAGCTTTTGAGATAGAGTTTTTCTGTGTAACAGCCCTGGCTGTCCTGGAACTTGCTCTGTAGACCAAGCTTGCCTTAAACTCATAGATATCTGCCTGACTCTGCCTCCAGAGAGCTGGGATTAGAGGCACATGCTACCACTGCCCAGCTTCAATCATTTTTAAAAAGAAAAGAAACAAAGACTCAAACATACATTTGCATGTGATTTAATACTCCAAAATAGTTTCTATCATCTCTGAAATAGAAATAGTTTATGAAAAATTGTTTTCAAAATCATATAAAAACAATCACAACAAAACTGATACATGTCTTATAAATGATGTTCAGCTTCTTATATGTGTAGATGACATACTCTCCAAAAGAAAACAACCATGGATATGTTTCTGTTTAAGTACAGAAGGCCACATCTTACAAGGGTTGTGTGAGTTGTTCAAATTCACATAGTCAGTGTGGACTAAGACCAGATTCAGATTCCAAATCCAACCCAATTTCTGGCACCCTGAATGCCACTAAGCTATATTCGCTAGTGATGAGTAGCGTAGTAGAACTCTAAAATGCAAAAGAAAAAGTTGAAATTTTATGTTGAGAAAATATAACCATATTTATTAAAAAATAGAGACCCAAACACCATCTTTCCTTTTCTGTTTTTTTCTCAAAAATTTAAGCTCTTCAGGATTTATTTGAAAGAAAATGTGCTGAATGTACACATCAGAAGTTGACCAAGTCAGTACCCAGTCACAGGACAAACACAACAGAACCCAGAAGACAGGAATGTACACAGTTAATCACCAAAGTTACTGTGTGCTACACCAGTACCAACTAACTGTTTATAGGGTCATAGTTGAGAGAGTTCTATTGTCTATGTGTTAGAAGGAATGTAGATAGAGAACAGATTCATATCATGTATAACATTGAATAGTACATAACTTGTGCTATGAGGAGCAACCTAGCTGATGTTCAGAATGAGCAAAGATAAGTTATGTTCTCAGGGTCCAGTATGGCTGGATGCTAGGAAACAGGTGAGGGAGCAGCAGGAGATCAGGCTGTCGGGCTCTACGAAGTGGCCTATGATAATAATCTGAGCTTTGTCCTAACAGTAAGATGCTCGTGCAAATCCCATTTATATCTATGTGGCCAGTTGCTAACAGGACTATGAAATATGGTGAATGTGTCCTTCATGAGAGTATCCTTCATATATGGTTGTTCAGTTTATTGTAAGTTTAGAACAAAATAAATGTCGGGATCAGATTTGGCTTTCAGGAGGATTACTCTAGCTGTAGTAAATGTGAGAGTTACTGGTGTGAGTAGATTTGCAGGAGTCTACTGCAGAGTGATGTGAGGCTTTGAATTATGAGAATGAAACATGGTTAGTACGGTAGAGCAAGAGAGGCCGTGGAAGTTTTAGTGTTAGCCCTATTGAGGTACTTCTATCAGGACTTTCTAATCCTACTGCATATACTCTGATGAACAGGATGTAAATAGTCATTGAGTTTAGCAGCTATGTACTCACATGAAAATTAGGACCAAAATCATTGATGCCCTGCTTTGTCAAAAGGCTCTGGAAAGTCAATTAAAAGACAACTAGCTTGCCATGATGAAAACTGGAAACCAACATTTTGTGATAGCTGCATCTTAGAGACCTGAGTATGCATTTGCTGACTTGTTCTGTCCCTCAATAAACTGTACTTAATCAGACTAACAAAAAAAGGATTGGGAAGCTATAAAGTTGGGGAACATTTAAAATAATGTCAATTATTTCTCTCTATAAATGTTAAATATGAGATACAATAAGCCCATAAATAGATTATATCTTACAATAGAAATACCTTAAAATCAAATACAGTAAAAAGACCCCCCCCAAAATCCCTATGATGATCCTGGAGAGGAAGCAATTTGTTTCTTATACTAGCTTATGTGTTTAGTGAAATTTAATACAAAAGGCCTAGCAGACAATTTTGAAGCTTTACAAAATCATTCCAACTTTTGCCTGAAAGAAGCCAAGAAAATTCATATAAATTGAAAAAATAAAGAGATGTCTATTTGTTCTATCAAGGATTAGAATGTATCACAAACACTGCAATGTTTAAGACATTGTCAGTTTAGGAATTAGTAAGGAAATATTATGGAATAGAATAAAAAATTTAAAGTATAAAATGTATTAAATGAGTGAGAATTTACTATATGAAAGTGTTTAGAATAGTACCACATGATTTGATTTATTATTTGGAATAGAAATTAAAGTCAGACTCTTACCTAATATACTATTTTGAAGAAGATGTAAAAATGCTTATAGTTTAGCTTTATTATAGTCTTTAAACTGTTGTAATCCACAAACATTTGCTGTTTCCAACAATTTATTACCATTTGATTCCAGTAGTATATTGAGACAACAGAAAAGTTGTAGTTAACTTTGAGGAAACATTATTAGTGAACAAGTGTTCATTTGAAAATTGTTATAAACTACATTTTTATTTTATTCTTCTTAGCAAATTGATGATACAAAGCATAAGAATGTATTTCTACTCTTATTATGATTAGGTAAAATAATCAGATTTATAAATAATGGTGAACAAACTATGTTTTAAAATCATATGGCAAAAACAAGTCTTGTTTTGAGAAGGGTTAAGAATACTTATCACAAGTTCAGGTATTTTGTTTCCAAAAGTCTTTGAATAACATTGTTTAAAAATCCACCAGATAAAGAAAAGTTAATTACAGAAGTAACACGCAAGGGAAATTGATCATATCATATACAAACCAACACTCTAGTCAATGTATTTGAGGTTTGCTGCCCAATTTCATGCCCTTTTCTTGGAAATTAGGACTTTCCACATCTGTTTGGCATCACTATCATGTCTACACTCTGCTTGTCTTTGTTGTCACTGTGGACAATGAGTCCTAAAAGGTCATTATCTTCTGCTTCATCAAAGGTACTTTTGCTCCTTCCATCTGCCTCTTTCCAAGAAACTGGACCAAAGCACATAGGTGAACAACTTTAATGGAACTGCACAATGTTCAGCAATAGTGATGTTAGACTGCAGATAAAACGAATACA